ATAGTATCTTATTAAGTTATTCTTAGGTTTTTCTATAGATCTTACTATTACTAGTATATATTATTACTAAGGTTCTTAGACGTATATCTAGAGTAATTATATTATATTTAAACTATTTAAGGTTACTATCCCTTAGGTAGTATTCTAATATTTCCTTATCTTTAAGGTGGATTTAATAGTTATCATTATAATAGCTAGTCTAGGATTAGGATATATATAGGACTTTAGTAATAGTATTAACTTATTAGGGTTATTTAGCTACTAGCTTCTAGGGGAGCTTCTTAGGCTACTTATAGTCTCTAGTAATATATCCTTATTTATTATAGTTATAACACTTAGGGTTTTAAGGCTTTTTATTATTAGGTTTAGTTATTATGCTGAGATCTATAGGTCTATTATGCTATCTATAAGTAGTACTCTAGTAGGTATTATTCTAGTTATTATAAGGTTTATTATCGTTCTATAAGAGGTTAAACTTCTAATAGGGCTGCTATTAGTACTTACGTCTAAAGTTTAGTCTTTATTATTTTTTACCTTTTTCCTTATAGTATTTGAAAAGTTAATTATTAATCTTAATAGTAAGGTTAGTATACTAAAGAAAATCTTTAGGATAGTTAATCTTAATAATCTTATCTTTAACTTTATCTTTAAGTCCTTAGTAGAATATAAAGATCTTAGTTTCTTTAGTGAAGTTAAGTTAGATACTAAGTTATCTAAATATAGTAGTATATTCTTTAGTTAACTTTATTTATTATAGCTATATAAGGTCTCTCTTAGTTTATTATTTCTTATTAGGGTTTTAGAAGAGAGAGTAGAAGGTATCTTTAAATCTCTTAAAGTTACTATAGATATTATAGGTCTTAGTAGAGTATTCATCTAAGGTTTTATACTTAAGGAACTCTTCTTAAATAGGTTTAAACTATTTAAGGGCTTATCCTTATAGGTAAATAGTAGTATAGATAACTTTTTTAGTTTAGCTAGTAAAGTCTTTATAGTAGAAGTTCTAGTAGTTCTTAACTTAGATTAGGAATAACTTAAGTTATCTAGGGGTACTATTATAAGTAATTAGGGCGCTAAGTTTGAGTTTCTATTATCCTCTAATAGGGGTAGTAACTATATTAGTAGTAGCTTAGAGAGTATTAAGTTCTTCTTGGAGTTCTTAAACCCTTTTAAAGTTAGTATCTCCTCTAATATCTTTTTCTAGTTTTTTAAAGGCTACTATAGCGTTTTGAAGTTATCTATTAAGGTTCTTAATAACTTACTTACTTTTGTTTATAAATATCTATATTTCTTTAGATTTAGCTTCTTATTTCTAGATAATACGTTAGAGTTTCTTATAACTTTCTTTAGTAAAGGAACCTTCTCTATTAGAGTTATACTTAAGGTTTAGTATATTATAATTTTTGATATTAGTAAGTTCTTATACTAAACTCTGAGGCTAATTATATAAGGAAGATAAAGATCTTAAGGTAGGGGATTTAGCTGAAGTGTGAGAGGATATATTTATTATTTTACTATTAGTATGTGTTAATAGTTAACTTACTAAATAGGAGTAATTAAAATATTATAATTAGCTATCTAATAGTAAGGTCTACTAATAGAAGCTAGGGATTAATATATTATAATAGTATATTGAGGTTATAGTCTGAGTTATAGGTTATAAGCTGTAGTAGATTAGGTCTTTTAGAGATTAAGGTAATTAGTTTTAGGCTTAATAAGTGATTTATAGTAAAGGTAAGCTGAGAGTATCTATAAGGATAAATATTAAGTTAATTACTAAAGAGCTATAGAAGTTTAACTATAAGCTAAGCTTAGGGTTATACTATATATAAGTCTTAAATAGTTCTTTTATTTAGCTATTAATTCCTAACTAGGTACTAGTGAGTGCTTAGTAATTACTAGTAAGTGCTTAGTAGTTCTTACTAAGTGCTTAGTAATCTATACTATTTACTTAGTCTTATCTTATTATTATATAACTTATACTATAGTTCTTCTATTTCTAAGTAAGTCCTTATTATTTCTATGATCTTGTAGTATAAATATCCTATCCTAGCTACTTGATACCTAAGGTGGGTTGACTAACTATTATCCTTGTTTATGGGTTATAACATAGGTGATTAGGACTTAAGTTACGAAGAATCTTAATTGAATAGCAAGTGGTTTTTAAGTTAATAGTTTGCTTATAAATCCCTGATATAACCTTTTATAAATCAGGTGAAGCTGCTAATACCTCCTTCAGGTGTCTATATCAGGAAGCGTTTACAAGGGAGATGCGGGTGACACATTAGATCATCATAAGATAGCTAAGACAATATTTCTCCGCGATGTATATTTTCCGCGATGTATATTTGAGTATGTCTATTGGCGGAGGGGACGGGTGCCGGCATACTTGGAGACAGTATGAACCGTAGTACTCTATGCGACTACGCAGGGACGCCCGTCTTAACTGTCTGATCACGGAGGTGATAATTTGCATAGTCAATTATCTCAACGGCTTCCTATACCGCACGCCTTTGGCGACGGTGGTTATGGCCTTTCGGGTTTGGGCTGAGATCAATGTAGCAACAGTGAACGATTTACCCTTAGAGGGTCGTGTGCTTGATTTGAATCCATGATTTCTATCTTTCGCGGTGGGGATCGACTTCAGCCGGGTTCTATTCTTAGCTTGCTACAGCTTCAATTAGTCATCGAAGCACCTACACGAATCGATCCCATCTCAGAGGATGCATGGCGCCAAAGTCAGTATACCGCATACCAGTAGCTAAACTTGCACAAATATATCGTAAGCTATAGTCCTCTTGACCAAATCAGCCTCAGCAGTCGAAGCAATTGTTGAGAGTATTTCACTGAACTATACGAACGCATTACGCCAAGAACAAATAGTATATCCCATATATCAGCTCTCCCAGAGAAAAAGCCATTTATACCAAAGTAGAGGTCTCTCAATATTATGCTCAACTTTGTTCAGTTGAACAATCTCTTTAAGTGTTTAAGGATAAGACAGAGAAGCAGCTTTTCGGGCAATGCGAATCTATACATAACGCATAGCAAGGTGTGTCACTTCTTAGCATTATCATCAACGTTTGGGATTACATGCCTGCTAAAGCGTAGCGATCCCTTTGAATGTCAATAGGCCGCGGACTGAGGACTCCTTGGAAAGAGTCCAGGGAAAACAACCCAAACCAGAAAGCGGTTTTGACTGAATGTTATTAACAAGATGAGGAAGGACTGTTAGATCAGGTGCCTCCAGGCTCACATGCCACGGTGACAGAACAAATAGTCTAGCCGACGGCGACACTAGAGACCAAATTCAGCAATACGTTCTCGCAACATAGTCATATAGAAGTTCCGTCACATTAACCGCTCATTTCAACTTCCGCGTCAACTGTCTAATTCGATAAGAATTCTCAACTTAATCAGTCTTCGATATAATTAGAACTTTTTGAGAGCAAGCTGTGGAGCAAACAGAGCATTTAAGGATATAATAATATAGATCAGATAGGTAGATAATAAGATCAACCTTTCTAGTTGAGGATAAAGTGTGCTAGGTTGAGTGAGCAGCACACCCTTATGGACGCTATCAACAAAAGAAAGCTATTCGCTCAAAGTATTAATAAGTTAGACGCACTACAATTCCCCATCACAATCTGAAATAAAATCATAACTTACATCTAATTCAGCAGAACGCCCTACTTAGTGTCATTTACCCACCCTAGTTCGCCAGGCATTCTAATCCTAAATTTATATAGAGCCGCAGCTTTTTCACTAATTATCAATTATCGCAGACAGGCCCTACCATACTATTAGTAAGGTTTAACAATCATCCCTCATCTCATGTCTGGTCTCGTCTCTCGTGTTTCGTTTCCAAATAGCAGTCTCAAGAGATGCCCAGTAATATCTAGATTTTTCACACTAAGATACACGTAGAATTAATACAACTATTCAAGAGATAATCCAGATAAGCGCCAGTATGCGAAGTCAACAACACCAATTACCCAGGATCTCTGTTCTTAGGGGGGCAACCAGAGGTTTCAAACCCCTAAGAAGCACTCATCTGACTCGCACTTTCTCATTCTTTCATTTACCTTGCTAGCGTTAAGGTGTTCGATCGAGACCAAGTGCAAGATTCAGTACACATAGCAGAGTGAATAGAATTATAACTCTCATTCCCCAGCTTGCTACTGCATTCAATAAATCGAGTCCCCTACGAAAAGCCTGTCATCTCCATCATCTCCCAGTCAAAACACCAGCTTACCAGCAACAATCGTTCAGTCACTATCCACCTAACTTATCACCAAGGCGTTTATCCCAGTTCTAAACATTACTACACTAGAAGTTGACAAACTCTTTATGTACAAGAGTTCATCCTGCACACTAAATATAGATCGTCTGATTGATAATCCAAGTGCTATACATATCAGCCAGAGGTCATTTATTCTCAAACAATCACAGTGATCATGGTGATTATCATCGCAACAGAATACCTTCAACAGATTCCTTGCATTATCAACAAGTTATCTTTCAAACAATCACAGTCTAAATCTTTTTTTTTTACCTCTACTCTTAAAGACTTCTCCGCAATTTAGGAAGTTATGGATGATTTTCTAGTGACAAAGATGTTATAATATTAATCGCGAATACAAGATTCCAGTAGTTTAGGCGAAAGAGGTATTCCAACTGCGAGAATCATATCTTTCTTGCGAAGTTATCACTACTATAGAGCGCCATAGTTTAAGACCTAGGTGGATAAACCCACACAACTCAAGTTAATTGCACATATATGATAAAGCGTGAAATCAAGAACTGCCTCAAGCTAAACGCTTTGCTTCGTGCACTTTTTCCGCATGACGGCATATCAGATGTTACTGAGATCGTTTCCGGTGGAGAAACACCAGATGTGAAATCTGACTCCCCTTGCCGTGTAAGATATCACTAGCGGACCCGCTGCCGCGATTCGACGTCGTGTCTGTCGGGATTGCCAATATGGCCGGGACACCCTTTCAATTTATGTAGCCGAGCAGCTCCTTGGTGCATGCCGCAGCAGTTGCAGCCGCGTAGTACTGCCAATCATCATTCTTATGAGAGTCAGCGTAGTCAGAGATACCGCGAATAACAATACAAGGAAATTCGGTCATCAGCCCAGCAGCCTCCATCTCAAAGCAGAGTACGTCTCCGACGTCGCGAATAATCATGTCTCTCTTTATAGTACTCTTCACCACGCGATCACCAGAGGCAATAAGTCCGTAGTGTATTTCGGGCCCCTCAAAGTCGCGAGGTATCCTGTGAACTCGCTTTTGGCTATCGCATGTTTCGCACGTTGTGTGTTGAGAGTTGTGAGAATAGCCTGCCTCAAACAGAATATCCAGGCTTCTAGAATCGAGGCTGCTGGATGGTTGTTGATAGACAGACAAGCGGTGTCCCCTTTGTAACATTGCCGATAAGAACTCGCAGACCTTATTTTTCCTTTCGCGGTGATCCGACCGCATCCTCACCACGGCGCTCCTCAATAGAGGTGGTGGCGGCGAAAGAAAGCCCTTACGTATAAAGCCATCATCTGTCTCTTTCCCTAAGTCGTACTGGACGACGCCTCCATACTGCTCGTCGGGCATACTTACCACAACGTCACCGAGGCGGATATCATGCCGTTTACTAGGAACTCCTCCACCAATGCCAGCGAAAAATCGCCAGCGAATAGATAGAAAGGTTCAGCCCAAGTTCGTAGCTACTATTGCAGCAGCACCTTTTCCTTGGCCTCCAGAAAGGCATGCGAGCACCACGTCATAGCCCATCAGGTCACCTAGGACATAAATGTTCAAGTCACCCTCTTTTGTTGGGAGGCTAGGGTGTTCATAATCTAGCATGTATCGAATAGCGCTCATTTCGAACTCAATCGCACACATAATCGCGACGGTGTAGTCTTCGTAAGCTCTTGCTGAACTCTGCATTATAAAATTGTTTCCAGCAAGGTATGTGTTGGGAATAATCCTAAGTCTCTAATTAACACACAAGAATGACCACAAATATCAGGCTCGCCAAGACATTTCTTACCTTGTCTTTTATGATACCAGTGCCTCGCAACACGTCGAAAGATTATTTACTTCATGAGCATCAAGACGTAATACATAAGATCCCTCATCATTTAAGGGATGCTTGGGGGCTAGTTTAGTAGACAACAAGTTCAAACATGTCTAAGCTATCCCAAAGGCAAAGTTGAAATTCTCTGCTATAGTCTCGTCCAAATTTCCGGACCCAAGGTCTCCAAAATGCTCAACAGCAGCATCCTCGAGAGGACCTATGATGCAACAGAAAATCTCTACGCAGATTACTCAGTTATCGCTACCTAGATAACTGAAAGTGGCCGGATTCAGACAGGCGCATATCACCTGACGGAAAGGTGGTGGAAAGCAAAGGAATTCTAGCTCTTCGAAGGCTTTCCAAGCTAAGTAATAGATATTATCTCCTGTGGGAATGTTTTTTCTGCTCAAAAACGACTCCAGCCTCTCACCGAGAAAAATTTCGAGAAGTATTGCTCCAAGCATGATAATATGAGGGTGTGGGTACGGCACGCCGGGTTAGTTCCTGGTCTTAGCTAATACGCTACTGAGAAATGGTCGGAGTGGAACTTTGGATCCATCGTGGAAGAAGACTATGTTTTCTCGTTTCCAAACAGCTTCCACCCGAGATCCACCATGGAGGTAGAGTAGTGCATATGAAAGCAGAATAGCAAGAGCCCATTTAACGTTAATATTCCAACATTTTTCCTTTATTAAAAGCAGTGACATCAGATCAATCTGGCTCTTCAGGCTTTCTCATTAGAACATATTCTCCCTAGGGCGCGATTGAGAAAGGGCGAGAGCGTCTTAGATCAAGATCAGATCAAGCCTGTAGTGATATAGATCATGAGACTTCAATAGATAACAAATACAATACTTTTCTAGAGGTTGCATACTTAGTTTATTTTGCAGAATTAGCTAGCTATTAAAGGAGACGAGTGAGCTATGGCGACTTACTTAACTCTTAGATCAGTGGTGATATCCAGCTCATGCCATTTCATCAGTAGACCAGCCTCAATATCCTGCCCTAGCAAGACACACAGTGATTTCAAGGTTAGCTTTTTACCACGCCGTCTGTAAGTCCCAAGCTTCAGCTTGAGGTCCATATTAGTACTGTAATAGCAGGTACATAACGCTGCACTCAAGGCCTTATCTAGAAATTAGCATGAACTTTCGTCCAGTGCCTATAAGTCTTTTAGGGCCTTGAGGTTTTCAAATTGATCTGCCATATGATTATCACGTTCAAATTCGTCCATTAGTCGCTCCATAGTCAGCTGAAGGTTATACCAGCAGCTCATCATGTTCAATAAGCAACTACCAAGGCGCTCAACGAGGCTGTCGTCCCATACAGTCTCTCCTTTCACCATGCTCTAAATTTATTTTCATCATCTGTCTTGTTCTACCTAACTGAACCATGAGCTTGTAGCCAAACTATTGCAGCCAGAGCACGTACCGCCGCTTCATCTGCTTGATCTTCCTAGTGAACAATTTTGAAGATTGTATCAAGATGTTAGGCTAGCTTGTATTTGTCCATCATCTCCATCGAACGTTCCATTTCGGCGTAAGTTGTTTAATTGAGATGCTGCTTGAGAATCCAATATGAGGTCTCAATATTGCGCAAACAGTTTTTTCGTTTATCCCACCGGTCGTACCAGTTCAACAGCTGCTTGCTCGTATGGGAAAGGGCGATAAGAGCAGCTTTAATCCACTCCAACTCTTTGAAAAGAGACTCGTTTTCTGTCTGCTTGCTCGATGCATTACCCATGTTGACTTATGAAGTGAACAGCACTAACCAGCACTGAGGTGGGAAAGTTGTGAGTCTCCAGAACCTGTCGCTGTGCCGACTTGGCTGATATTTGTTTTAGACTGCTGTAAAGGAGCTGGTGCAGGAGACGGCTGACATGATACATCGCACAAGAGAACTGACTTAAATAGCTCGAAGCGGGGTTCAGTCCTGACCATGCAGTGTATTTTGATTTCGCACAAATGGAAGACCGGGATGCTTTCCACCAAAATAGTGTTAGCGGCATGCAGGGTTGTTGAGGGTGCATTTCTTAGCTTGTGTACAGGCAAATGTTAAGCTCGGACACGTGGACCTATCACCAACTGCTCGCCAAGCTGACAAAGCCGTCGCGTTGAATTGGGCAGAAATCCCGAGGCAAGTAAGAACAGGGAGCACACACATGCTTTAAGTGTCTTAGCCCGCCTTCTGCCATCACTCCGCTCAGACCCGTTTCCAATTCCCAGCGAAATTGTCATGGCTCCAGTGCGACAGAGCGCCGAAATACGCGATTGCTCGAAGCGATGTTTCGAACTTTTCATGGAGATATTCCATCAGTTTAGGGACCAGGATAATCGCGACCAAAGCACCGTCAATGACAAGTTTTCGCGATTCCGGCTGTGGGCGTCTAACATTGGCGTCTTTGCAGATGATCAGTTATCTCTGGACTTTCGAGTGCGAGAGGCCGAGGAAGTTAAGGAGCTATTCATATGTCAACTAGACACCATTGAATCCCGGCTTATTCAACGTATGTGCTCCGAATTCTTCAGCTAGTTGAGCCCAATCTAACGATGGCTGTACAAGTAAGCGAGGAATTCGCTGTAGTAAAAAAGGATGACACTGTAGAATCGTTACCAGATAACCATCCGGAATGTTCTGACTTAGCCTCTCGTCACGAAAATCTCACTACGTTCGAAGAGTGGAGTCTTGATGAGTTGCTGGAGTCCATCCAGCGCAGCCTTGATTGGCTGCAGAGACTTTCCAACTCGATCAGAAAGGCTAGCATCAGTAATCAAAATAAGAGAGCCAAGGATTTCAACTTCGAAAACTATGGAGACGGGCAATTGCTGGAGACTGATGTGCGAGATTACTACAAAGCAAAAGTCCTGGAAATCAACCCTGGCCTGAAAGACGACTGGATGATTAATAGACTGACGGAAACGATGGTTTTACGTCTCAAACGCATTCTCTATCGGCAGTCTCGCCAAGTTGAATGGTTTTTTCCACAAGTTAAGCCCCCAACTCCAGGACAGCTTCCGCCTCAAAACACACAGCAACAAGGTCAACAAAGCTCGCCAACAATCAGCCCTGAGGAAAGACATTCAAAGGCCGCACCATACAATATCAGAACCGCAGCGACTGGAAATAGAAAGGCTACAACTTTAGATATATTAGTATAGAAACACCAGCAAAGTTACGAAAAGTTAGAGATCTCCACATCCACATCAGCGTCGACGAACCGCAGGTACCCGCTCAACCTACCTCCCCCGCCAACTATTACTACTGCCAGCAATAACTTCACATATCCTTACTGCCACCTGGTATTGAAGAGCAAAGTGTTCAAAGAGAAAGGGAAAGCCTGGAGGTAAGTGTGTAATATCATCTCAAGAAATGTTGACAATATGAGGTGGTGATTCTGACATGCCATTAGGAAGCACGTAACCCTAGACTTGGAGCCGTACATCTGCATCTTCTCTAATTACAAGAGCCAATTAGAAATTTATCCAACCAAAATGGAGTGGCTTTCACATATGAAAACTTCTCATCATATGAGATAGTAGTGCTTCGCCATACAAGCAGATCACAAACCATTCATATCCAAGACAGCTAAGGAATTCAAGAGTCACATGATTACGGCTCATTCCGGTGATTTCAGAACAGACGAACTCTCTCTCATCACCAAAATTAGTCACCAACCAATATCACCTACCATCAAATGCTGTCCATTCTGCGTCAATTATCCCACGAAGTCCCTCGATCTTGAGGAACACGTTGTTCAACACTTGCAAGACTTTGCTCTGCACTCGATCGAAGTCCCAACGTCCCTTCTTCCCATCCAGCCCCGGAATCAAGATTCCCTCACGTTTTCCACCGATGACGATGATGGGTTGGACTCCAAGGCGCCCACTCGATCCACAATCAAGGAATCAAGATTAACGTGGAAGCATCCTCTCGTGTTCGATGACAGGGATCGAAGCAGTGAAAAACCACCGTCCCCAGACTACAAGAAAATCTCTTCATTCGGCCAACTGATCAATGACGACTGCTGCTACAACCACAATGGCGATGAGTTCTTACCGAATGATAGATTCCTTCGCTCCGTTAACAGAAGTTGTGTAGTTGAAATTCTCAGAGCGGC